TCAGACCAGAGATCTGAACTAGAAAAATAAATGTATGAGTCATCTAAGTGTAAATAGTAATTGAGACAAGGATACAGATGAGTCACAAAGAAAAACAATATTGATTGAGAAGAAAAGTTTCTAGAACCAAGTCTAAAAGCATCCCAACATTTAATAGCCGATAGAGAAGGATGAGATTACAAAGGATGCGCAGAAAGAGAGGCTGGAGAGGAAAAGGAGGAGTGAGTAACTGAGGTAGGGGAGCATGATTGAAAGTGTGAACAGAAACTAAAACCTGTATGGATGCATGTCTGACTGTTAAGAGTAGTTACATCTGGAGAACGGATTTGGGATGGGGGGACTATTTTACTCTAAACTATTCTGAATTCATAGGATTTGTTCCAAAGAGCAGGTATTACCTCTTAGTTTAATAAAATAATATCTGTGGCTCCCACTGTTCAGTACAATAGACTTACAACAATTCAAATGTTATAACTTAATTGAATATAATTACTGAGGAGCTCAAATATACACAAATTACAATGTTCAAGAAAAATTATTTCTGGAACATCAATTTTCTAAGAATTCTTCATTCCTAGAATTGGTTTTTTTAATTACTCATTTTTAAACACACAAGTTTTAGAAGTGGAGGCGGAGTAAAGAGCTGGAACTCCCACCCACTCAGTAGTAAGCAGGAGTCCAATCTCTTCAGTTGTCAGTGGAGACTGGGTGGGAAACCTGGATAATGAGGTGTCGTTCCCACCCTCCTGCTGGAGCAGTGTCAGAGGAACCCAGTTAAACCAGAAGGTTTGAATGAGATCCAGAGTCTTATTATATTCCCAAAATGTCCAGGTTTCAATAGAAAGTCACTCATTATATCAAAAATCACAATTCTCAAACTGAGTGAAAAAAAATGCTTGAAAGATGCCAACATCAAGATGACAGAGATGTTAGAATGATCTGACAAAGATGTTAGGCTTCAACAACCCATCAGAATCTATTTGAAACCAATGAAAAAAATCAGAAAGTCTCAGCAAAGGAATAGAAGATGTAAAGAAGAACCAAATGGAAATTTTAGAACTGAAAAATGTAACAGTTGAAATAATAACCTCAGTGGATAGATTCAAGAGTGGAATGGAGGGCACAGAGGAAAGAATCAGCAAGCTGCAAGATGGAACAATAGAAATGACCCAGTCTAAACAACAGAGAAAAAAGAAACTGAAAAAAAGAACAGAGCCTTAGGGACCTGTGGGACTATAACAAAAGATCTAATATTCATATAATTGGAGTCCTAGAAGGAGAGGAGAAAGTGTGGCTGAAAAATACTTGAGGAAATAATGCCTGAAAACTTTCCAAATTTGCCAATAAGCCTAAACCTACAGATTCAAGAAAACAAACAGGATAAACACGAAGAAATCCAAGCCACAACCATCATAATTAAATTTCTGAAAACTAAAGACAAAAAAAAAGTAGCCAGAGAAAAACAATTTAGGAGAACAGCAATTCTAATGTCAGTAGGTTTCTCGAAAGAATGGCCAACAGAAGATACCTAAACAGAAAGGAAATCGGTGAACATCATGTAGAGAAACAGGATCACTCCTACACTGCTGAAGGGAATGTGAAACGGTACAATCACTCTGGGAAAATGTTTGGCAGTTTCTTAAAAAAAAAATTAAACTTGCAAGTACCATACAACATACATACAACCCAACTGACTCCTGGCATTTATCCCAGAGAAATTAAACTTCTATTTGCACAAATACCTGTAGAAGAATTGTTATAGCAGCTTTGTTCATTATAGTCAAAACCTAGAAGCAACCCAGATGTCCTTCAGTGGGTGAACGGTTTAATGAACTGTGGTACAGCCATACCATGATTTAGCCATAAAAAGGAAGACCTATTTATACATGCAACAACCTAGGTAAATCTCCAGAGAATTATGCTGAGTGAAAAAATGCCAATCCCAAAAAGTTACTTACTGTATGATTCCATTTATATAACATTCTTGAAATGAAAAAATTTATAGAGATAGAGAACAGATCAGAGGTTGGGGGACTATGGGGGAGAGGAAAGCAGGTATGGCTATAAAACAGCAACATGGAGATCGTTGTGGTGATGAAAATGTTACCATTGAGGTAAACCATAAAAGTTACACAGGATCTTTCTATATTATTTCCTACAACTGCATGTGAATATACAATTACCCCAAAATAAAAAGTTTAATTAAAAACTAAATCTTGGTGTTTTTTTTTTCCCAAATAGACTGGAAAAGTTTTAGGTTTCCAATTCACTTAGGACTGGCCTAAGAGTATAGTATATAACACATTGTTTACTAGCACAGTGATCATTTATGCTTAGAAGTTTAGTTAACGTTTCCAGATCTCATCTAC